GACTCTGTGTTTGTGAGAGGGGAAGTATCGCCTCTTAGAGGGGCCCGGGGGGGAGGCTGGTATATACTTGTCCCAGGTAACTAGGTGAGGGCTCGAGCCAGTTTTGCATTGTGTTATTGGACCGGAACCCCTAGATACTGAACCCGGCCCTTGTTGCTGCCAACTCTGATAGGCAGAAGGGTTACACTGGTATTTATAGACTGTAATAAAGTCACCTCTTAACCGTCTCTTTTCCTTCTCTTAACCTTAAATAGATTAAGCTCCTTGAGTCTGTCGCTATAAGCCATGTTTTCCAATCTTTTAATCATTCCCGTGGCTCTCCTACGAACCCTCTCCTATTTTTCAACATCCTTCTTGAATGGTGGGCATCAGAAAGTTCCTCCTCCTCTCCTGTGCTTCCCTGGATGGCTGTAGGAGAGGGGAGCCATTGTTTACTAGGTGGTCCTCTAGGATCAGGCAGAGCCAGCTGAGTTCCAATCCTGGATCCCACAGCCCAGGAGAAAAGGAAGCACTGGAACAGCTAGAGCTACTCTCCTCCCTCCACTGCAATGCACCACATGGTCAGCAGGGGAGCTGCTAAGCAGTTGTAGCAGGAAAGGAACAGCAGCTGCTCAGAGCTCTCTCAGCTCACATGAAAACCACTCTTCAGGCTGCAGGGCAAGCATGGAAGATAGTGGAGGATGGAATACCCCCCTTACAACCTCCTCATAACAATGGGCCCAGTTCAAACACTTCAGTTTAAAATTTGCAGGACATGAGTCAGGAACACATTTTCAGTTCAGGATCAAACACAATTTTCACCCTTAACACTATTGTCTTAAGAGCCACTCTCTCTGATACCACTGCTTTAACCATAACAGGGAGCTTGTTCAAAATATGGTAGATCATTTTCACCATTAATGGCAGCTCAGAATTTATGTTCAAAATAATTCCAGTCAACCTCTTTAATGGCGAGCATCCTCCAATTTTTAATTGTATACTTTGGTTTTCTGTTATTGCCCACCTTACACTAAGAAAGGCATTCTTAGTGATCGCTGAAATAGATTTTTAAAGCCATCCACTCCTGTTTTCAATACATCTCTTTCCTCTATAACCATTTGGAGATTTTCTTCCATGGTGTCCACATTGCCTTCTAATCTGGGAATTTACTGGGGGAATGTTTCAACTTCGCCTTTCAACCTTTCCTCCATATGCTTTCACAACTTGTAAAGCAATTTTAAGAGAAACCTGGGAAGACAATTCCAGATTCAGCAGGGGTCTGAATTACTCTCTCTCTCTCTCTCTTTCTCTCTGGGAGAGAGAGACTTCACAGCTGCTAAGGGTGCCCTTCCCCTGCTGGCAGTTTCCTCCCCAACCAGGCCAATTCCAGACTGAAAATAAGTTTTTGGCAAACTCAGCTGGTGCCAGCCTGTTATTTCATTTGTTTTAGGAGACATCTCTAAGCAGGAAAGAGAAGTCCAGCCCAAGTAAGTTCAAATAAATAACATTTCACAAATGTCCCAAACAAATGGTAGATAAAAGTCACAGATAAAATACAATGGGCATCACTTTTCCAACAAAGGAAAATTTATTGATGCAGAGCAATTAGTACTGGCTTCTGGTTTTGATATTTGTTTTCCCTTCTATATTTGCATTTAACCTTTCAAAGCACATGAAAGCACAAATGCTTTGTTAGGTTTCATGCAGAGATATTTGCATGAGTGCCACGACATTATACAGGCCTGAGCCCTTAGATTTTTCCTGTTTCAACAGTGACTAAAACTCAGGTAAAATTTCCATTGATACTTACTGCAGGAAGGAGCTCCAAGTTATTCTAACCCAGGGGTTCTCAAACTGGGGGTCGGGATCCCTTGGGGGTCACAAGGTTATTACATGGGGGTCGCAAGCTGTCAGCCTCCACACCAAACCCCGCTTTGCATCCAGCATTTATAATGGGGTTAAATATATAAAAAGTGTTTTTAATTAATAAGGGGGGTTGCACTCAGAGGCTTGCTATGTGAAAGGGGTCACCAGTACAAAAGTTTGAGAACTGCTGTTCTAACCTAAGAAAAGGCTATTTTTGACCTCCACAGAGATAACAACCCTTAATTTTTTTTTGTATGGACTGTGTTTTAAAATAATCTCTCAGAAGTGCTAGAGCTTGGGATATTATCATTTTATTTAGGTATAAATTAAAATAAATAAAATATCAATTTGGTCCTCGATAAATGCACTAATGGGCAAGATTCACATACAAAACCCACATGTGAGCAGAAGAACTACATGGGCTGGAAGAACCAATCTAGTACCTCATGGTCATGGGCAGGGCAGAGTCCACTTGGAAGATCCTTTTGTGGTCACTATTCCTGTCCCTAGGCTGGAATAGGGGCGCATGTGGCTTATGTATCTGACCCACTGGTCACTTGGGCTGGTCAGAAGACAACAATACAACTTTTTGAAAAACATCAAGATTTCAAAATCTGTTCACGTTACAGATTACAATGAAAAAGAGACCTTCTGAAATTTTCCATGAAAAAAAAAAAAGAGATGCCCCTCACGCCAAAATAGCAAATAGCATAGTGGTTACGTCACTCAGCAGGGATGTGGGAAACTTAGGTTCAAAACTTGCTCAGAGTTTATGTTCAAAGTAATTCCAGTAAACCCCACCTTCCAGGTGAGTGCCCTGACCACCAAGCTATTGGCTGGCCTGAAGGCTTGCCCTCAATCTCTCCTGCTGGAGCTGCCCCATTTTATATAAATAATTAAATATTCATTGGGTTAGAAAGAGAGACTGAATCTATATCGTGGTGGTACAGCACCTAGCCTGGAATATGGAAGACCCAGGTTCAAATCCCTGTTCCAAATTAGGTGAGTACCCTAGCTATTAGATTATTGGCTATTCTGGGGTGGGTGTGTTTCTCTCTCCTTCACACATATGCTAGCCTGGAGAAACTTTTTTATTTTGGGGGGGGGGCGAAAAAGTTTTCCCCTGGTCTCACACACACCCCTCCACTGGTTTCCTCCCCTCACAAATTCCCATCTGCAGTGGCTTATGCAGAGTTACCAAAGAGCCCATCTCTATCAAGAAGGGGTGCAGAGTTCTGTGTGCCCACTGCCCATACAGCAGAATCATCATGATTGAGCTGGATTGAAGCATCTGGAGAATGTTGCATTGAGTCTCCCAGTCTGTGCAGATACGATTCTATTTGTTTCAACTATTCTTCAATCTTCTACATGCTTGAATAACTAAGTACAACTATTTTCTCCTTAAGAAATACTTTTAAGATCCTCCTAGAATTATCAGAGTTCATTAATGAAAAGTAACGGCAGGGTTCCCTGAGGAATCAGACAAATACCTTCAGAATTGATGATAACAATCATTGCTTCCAAATTTTTAAAAGCTTGGAAGAGTAAAGGCATTCTGTCTCCAAAAGCGGTATATTCAGAAGTGGGGACTGGGCTTTTTCTTAGCTGTTTACCCATGCTGCATTTGTGTGAAACTAATGTGGGTGTAATGTGAGATGTGAACATCCATACACACCTTCCCTCGGGTGTCAGCAGTGCTGCAGTTGCCCAGTAGGGCAAGTAAAACTGTGCATATGCAAAAGTGATAGCTTCACATGGCCTGCTAGAAAGGAGATGGCATGCTACGGAATTATTTATCTCCCATTCTTATGGGGAAATTTAACCACAGCCATTGTTTTTGATTAATTAAATATCACATATGTTAGTATCCAAAGTGGAAGAAACAAATAATTTGCAAAGAAAGAACACAAAAAATTAAACAAATTGATTTAATGTTTCATTGGATTCATTCTTCTTTTGGTGCATCATCTAACGCATTCTTCTTATGGTCATAATATCTTAGCATGCACAATTCTGAACCACATGCATAGGCAGATCTGCCCATTAGAATCTCACCAACAGTTCACTTCTGATGCCAGGGCACAATTCTTGACAATGCAAACTGGCTTAAGTAACCAGAAATCAGGCAACACTGGAACCAGACTCATTTAAAATCACCTGAGGCATTAGACTTTGTTTGTTTGGGATATTATATGTACACATGCACACACAGTAAACCCACACACAAATAATGACTAGCCAGATCACCTCAGCTATGACAATTTTACAGCTCTGTTTCTATATCCTCCCACTTCAAGCTCATAGCTCCACTCAGCTAAACTGCCGTAACTCCTTAGGGATTTCTCCATTAAAAATCAAAACTGCAGACCGTATAACATGGAGTCTACTGTTATTTCTTGTTGATTGCACACTGTGAATATAAGATTAACTAGCAAAATGTAAGGATTTGGAGGCTTATTCTATGGAGTTCTCCCCCTGATGGAGTCAGTAGGTATGTAAAAATTAGCTTCTTCTAGCTCCGAAAAGAGGGAGGGGGTGGAAAAAGGGAGTCCACAGTTAGACAGTACACGGTGCAAAGTCCCCTGCCACCAGTCAGCAGAGGGGTCCTGTGTTGAGAGCGAACAGGGAGGAGCAGTGGGGTTCTGAACCCTGTCCTTTCAGCCCTAAGCCCTGGCAGATAAGGTCACTTCCACCAGCTCCTCTCTCTACTTAACACTTTCGTGCCTCTTTGGGGCACCCTTTGCCTCGATCCCTCCCTCCCTGGTGTTGCTGCAGGGCGGCTTCGGCTGGCGGTGAGCCCCAGACGTAGCATCTGCCCTCCTAAGCCCGGGTCAGCAGCAGCGGCACCATCCCCGCGCCCGCACCAGGAGGGGGCTTCCAGGACAGGACGGGCCGTCCTGCTGTTTAAAAAGCCCTAGGGCGCACGCACACCCGGCTTCCTCCCTCTGCAAGGGGCAAAGCTTGCTGGGGAGCAAATGGTACCCGCTGCTCTGAGGGCTGGTGGGGGCCAGTGAGCTGGGCACCCCTGCCCCTCTCCTCGTCCCCACAAGCGGCTCCTCGCCGGGGATCCCAGCCCGCCGCTGCCCGGCCCCGTGCGGCGCTGCCTGCAGCGCGGAGCTCCCCGCGCGCCGCCCGGGGCCGGCCCCTCTCCTCACCTGTTCAGCACTTTGCGGAGCCGCTGGCGCACGCCCGGGGAGGAGGAGGCGGAGATGCTGCTCCTGCCGCTGCCGCCGGCGCCGCCCTCCGCCGGCAGGTTCTCGATGGTCGCGACAACATGGTTGGGCTGCGGCGGCTGCTCGGGGGAGATCATCGCGGCGGGGCTGGGCATCAGAAGGCAGCAGCCGGGCGCATGCTGCGCCGCGCGGCCGGCCGGGCGACCCTTGCGCGCGGGCGGCGGCTCGCTCGCTTCTTCCCCGCGCAGCGCCAGCTCCAGAGCCGCGGCCACTGTGCCCCGCTCCTGCTCACTGCGCGGCCATGGAGCGAGGGGGCGGGCTGCTGCTGCCGCCCCCACCGCGCCTCGCCTCCTTCCCGGCAGCAAGGGCTGGTCACAGCCCCCGAAGTGGCCGCAGTTTGGAGCCGCCTCCCGCTCCCCCCCCCCCGCCGCCCTTTCCCTTCCCAGTGAGTGTCTGGTTCTCTCTGGATCAGAGGAAGCCGCTGCTGAGCTGGACTGAGCCGCTTTGTGTCCCCCTCGCGCTGCTCCTCTGGCTCCCTCACACCCACACACAGACCCGCAGACAGCGTGCGGCGCCCAGGTGCAGCGCGCGGCTCCGCGCCGGGCTCAGTCCCTCGGCCGTGTGTGCGCTGTCTGCCTCCCTGCGCGCGGGGGGCTGGCTGGAAGCGAGTCAGAGGCAGGGAATGAACACAAGAGTGCAGCAGTGGGAGCCGAGACGGAGCCAGTGGGCAACAGCCCTCCCCTCCCCGCCCCAGCTATTCACACCCACCAGGGGGAGCACATGCAGCACGGAGAGCCCCCCAGCCGCCTGCCCCCTTCCCGGAGTGGGTCTGCCTGCCGGGAGTTGTAGTTTCCACCCTCAGGGGTCTCCCCCACCCCCACGCCGCCTTCAGTACCAGCCACCCGCGGACAGCGGCAGGCGGCTGCCAAAAGTCCTAGGAAGTTTAAAGCCGCTGAGGTGGGACGCGGGGAGTCAGCACAACTAAGGCAGGCCGGAGACCCGCAATCCCAGCTGTCAACAAACGTTAGGGTGTCCTTCCGCCTCAGAACAAAAACAAGACGAACAGTTTTTTTACCAAAAAAGCAGCCACCCCCAAAGCAGCCAAGCACCCAAAGGCCAGGGCGCCCCCCAAAACAACCAACTGCCTGATGGACAGGGCACCCCCCAAAAAGCAGCCAACCACTCAGTAACCAGGGCACCCTGTGACATACTGGGATACAATCCAGACCAGTGGGGGTCTGTGTCACCCTTGCCTTGCAACCCCGGGGTGCCTTGCATTGTCTTACTGTTGTAGCTCCCAACCTGGACCTCTCACATACAGCCCATGCAGGTCACTCCCAGATACGTTTGTGTAACTGCAGCCCATGAATCACACCCTGGCTCTCACCAGCCTTGTTATATTGTAGGGTGCTGGTAACACACTCCCAGTCCCAGATTTCCCCCCATAAATGTATGTCTTGTACTGCCCAGCCCTCTGCTGGACAGTCCAAATATATTAAGTCGGTGTGCTTTTAAGGGAATAATATACACACAATTGCCACCCTAAATGGAGTTACCCAGAGACTTCAAATTGAACACACTGGATTAGATGAAAAAACAAAGCAAGCCGATTAACTACAAAGAGATAGGTTTTAAGTGAGTATAGGTAATGAGGCATAAAAGTAAGAAATGGTTACAAGAAAATAAAGATAAAAATGCTTTCTAGTGCCTAGCTTAACAAATTATATTAGATTCAAATAAAGTTTCTGACCAATGCTTTCATTTCACTTAGGCTCCCCTGTATCTCTTTCTTATAATTCTTATAATCAAACTCTTCAGGTCAGGACCCACCCCCTCGCTCCCAGAGTCCAATGACTCTTTTTCGTTGTTTTCTCCAGCTGCAGAGAATGAGATGGGTAGGGAAAGAGAGGGGAGGTCTTGTGGTGTTTGCCTCCCTTTTTATAATTTCAGTCCCTCTTTGAAAAGCATTTCCAACTGAGAGCCAAGAGACAGAGGGGTTGGTGGAGGAAGGACTCCTTATGCTATTTCTTTGCTAAGATGCAGATCTATCTATGTCCCGTCCCCGATTCTTGCCAAAGAATGGCCACTAGATAGGTGATGGCCCATCAGCTTTGTTGACACCTGGTTGGGGTGTCAGCTTGCCTTTTGAGGAACTGGTTTAGCCACTCCCCAGACTTATCTGGGAAACACACTATAGTCATGATTTCATCTTATGTTCATAACTTTACATATAATTTTGCTACATGCCTTTTACCAAGATATTACTGATCAGCAAGTTATGTGTTTTCAAATGATGCCTCACAAGGCATGCCCTGTACAAAAATTATTACAATAGTGTGCAATGTGTGAATACAGGCCCCAAATCTGCCCACTGCCCCGTGGCAAAGGTGCCCGCCCCAAAAAACCGTGCACTACTGGTGGCCAGGGCACCCCCTCCAAAACAGCCAACTGCCTGGTGGCCAGGATGCTCCCCAAAACAGGCAATTGCCCAGTGTCCATGATACCCACCAGAAAAACAGCCAACCACTGGTGGCTAGAGCACATCCCCCAAAACAGCCAAATGCCCGATGACTAGGGCATTCATTTGGGATATGGGAGAGTGCGTTGGTCTCTCTCTTCATTCCACCCTTGACCTGAGAAACCTTCCAGATGGAAATTTTGTCAGAACAGATATGTTTCTGCTAAAAGTTTTGGTTTAAAAAAATAAATCAGAATGTTCTGATAGTAACGCCAATCAGTTTTGTCAAAAATTTCCCAGTCGCTCTGACAAAAAATACCAACACCAGACCTGACACAAAGGGCAACTCTAGACAAGGACTGATGAAAGGGGGCTCTTGGGAAGGGTAGGAAATTTCAGACACTGGATCAAATGTGAGATGGAGTGAACAAAAAAAAGGCTTCACCCACAAAATAATTAATTTTTGGTAATTTTGCTTGCCATCCGCATCTGCATAATAAATGCTAATAACAATGATACTTTACCTCAATAGAGAACTTTTTCAGAGGAAGAGCTCAATGTGCTTTAGAAAGAGCACTACACTAATATGCACAATATCCCAGAGAGTGTCATCCCTATTTTATGGGTAGGCAGATTGAGTCATAAAGAGGGCAAGACCCTCATTTTCAAAAGGGCTGTCTCATTTTAGGTGCCCACAATTAGACACCCTGATTTTCCAAGGTGCTGAGCAAAGTTTGAGAAACTCAGAACTAAAGAGAACTTTTAAAAATGTGTCACTAAATAGCTTTCCCAAAGAGAGAGTGTGACAGTCAGGAACAGCACACAGGAGTCCTGACTACCAGACCCCTTCCCTAAATTTGAGGGGTAAAATCTTGGCCCCACTGAAGTTAATAGGAACTTTGTCATTGCAGTGGGGCCAGGATTTTACCCTAGATGACATTATGTTAACACCTGGGGATTTAATCTATGTTAACTCATTTCATTTACGCTCCCCTGTATCTCTTTCTTATAATTTGACATGTAGTGGATGTGGGCCAAAATAAGCTGTGAACATTTCAAGATACACATTAAGTAAAACACTCATTGGGTAGTGTACATAAGAAGTTCCATATAGTTGTATAAATAGAAGAATTTACATAACAAAGGAAGAAAAACATACAAGAAAACTGTCAAAAGAAACAGACATTAGCCACAAAATGTTACCTTATGTACGATTCTTCCTGCACCAAGCTGTGGAACTCTCCCAAGTAGTTCAGAGGCAGTCACTGTCAGGAGACTGGAGCCCTGGCAACAAAGAGGAGCTGTCAAGGGCTTGCAGGAAGCCAGAGAAATGGGCAATAGCACAGAGTCCAGGGGGCAGTTTGCACAAAAGCTATTTGCCTCTTGACATTTTCTAACAGCTGCACCTTTAAGAAGTGAATCTCCTAACCCCATGGAAGAATTCAAAGGAAACTGCACACTGAGGCCAAAAAACTCCATTCCCCTATATGGAAATGGTCCCCATAAAGGAGAACGGAGATATTCAGCAGAATGAAACATCCTTGATATTATTGCCCCTTCTTCCAATATCAGTATCCCATTCTGACATTAGCACTGCCCTTCTGCCAAGCAGTTACTGATGTCTGGGGCCTTAGAGATAGATTTTTCCAGTGGAGGAGAAATCAGTGATGCCGAGGCTGACAATATTCTAAGTGTAAATTGATTTTTTTACATAATATACATAAGTCCTAGAATAGAGGGGGGCAAAAAGCATGCAGGCCAATCCCTTCTATCAGGAATCTCATCCCAACACCAATGTTCAAATCCCAGATAGCAACTCTGCCTCAAGAATTAACTGTAATCAGAGACGAATGCAGACAGCAAACTCTCCTCCAGCTCTCACATAGCTCCCTCTAAGTACTACTAACAGTACCACCACTACAGCATGTCTTCCCAAGACTGAACATTTGCTTGCAGAGTAAGAGAAAGAACACGGAAGGCTCTGTGTAACAGTGCCACCCGGTGACATGTGCCATAGCAATATTTTACAATTATGTTTGTTAGCTGTTGCTTTAAATGTGGGGAATACACTAAACTAATTATAACAAGTTTCTCATTCTTCCCTATGAGGGAAATATTTATACAACAATCACATACCATTGTGTCACAGAGACCGAGTGGCTGAGTCATCTTATGAAGAAATGGGTTATCCAGTCTAGACAGGGTAAAAGAAAATATAATTGATTAGATTCTTTCTCACCTTAGGGAAAAACAAACACATAATAAAGATTACTATACATAACAGCATAAGGAATTTAGCTCACAATAATATGATGCTTATTAGCCAGCTCAGAATCTGAACTTCCTAGCCTAGCTCAATGTTTCCTGAAGAGTCTCCCTCTCTTGTTTTAAAATCTCATGTCCTGTGCTTCTCTCTTTTGTCTTCTGCTGGGTTTGACTAATCTGTCTATCACAGTCATTCGTAGCTCTGCAACTGCCATTAGCTTTTCCATGGTTGTATACATTTACCTATTTGTCCTCTTCCTAGATCTGAGAAGAATGAATGAAAGAATGATGCAGAGATTAATAAAACAAGAAAAAAGCCACCACAAGAATGTACTACCTTCCACACTTCATAGTACAGTTGCTCACACACTCATCCCACTCAAAACACAAAAACCTGGGACAGGAAAGAGAACTGAATCTCAAAAGGTGGGGTGAGAGACAAGAAAGCTTGCGGTCAGTTGCAGAGGGAGACATAGTCTCACACATTGAATTCAGTGCAAAAAGGCCAACGGAAAGGACTACTCTAACCTGCTGAAATAGAAAATACTGAACCCTGAATAGTTGTATGGTAGTGTTTTTGCTCAGCCCAGTAACAATTTCAATCTTCATGCTCTTTTCAATAATCCACATTACAATTACTCTTACTTTGTTTTATTGCACA